GCCATTAATCTCTGACTGTCACGACAAGACCAAACCACACCATCAGTCAGCACCATCAGTTCTGACCTCTCCACTGTGTGTGATCCGTGGTCACCGAGCATGTGCTAAGGATAAGAGATGCAAACTGCAGGAAGTGGTAATAAGTGTGGGAAAACATGCACAGAGCATCATCAGTTTCATGGATGACTGGGCAGAAGGATCACAATTTTATTATTATTTTTTTTCCCCCATTGTGTGGTTTTCAGACTCGTGGCTTCATTTGATGTTTTATAAGGCAAGAAAACAAATATGTGACTTAACAGAATACTGCAAAAATAAGTAATAAAAGTTTAATAAATGATAAATAATAAATAATATAATAGCCTCCAATTACACTCCAGGGCTGGACTACATACGTAGAACTACATCCACGTGAGACTTAAATATCTGACGTTGGTGTAGTTATCCTTTTTCCTCTTGTGGCTGTAAAGAGCTTCTTTAATTGAAGCTGAAAGCTGAAGTTTTGTCATGACTGGTGATGTTTTGAATATATTTGGACTTGAAAACATTTTTTCCACCCTATGCCAATGATAATCAACACTCTTTGTGTCCTTTGGGCTCCTCAGAGCGCAGTCCCAAGTGTCCTTGAATTCCCAGAAGAGAGGTGGAGTGACAAATCTGTAACCAGAACGAAACCGTGATTCAAAGGTCCGCACTGTCATATTCATTTCACTGTGATATGGATCTGTTGATGCCTGGTTAAAGTGTGCTGGTTTGGTCTTTCCAAAATTGTTCTAGTACAAGTGAACACCCGATTAATGGGAGTTTATTTTTTGCTCATAAGCTAATCACAAAGAAGTCTTCTTTTCACTTTCCTCCTATTTAAAGAAAAGCTGAGCCCATCTGTGGTTTTAGAGAAATGTTACACAGCTGAAGATCATGTAGCGTTTTTATTTCTTCGATGACCCAAGTAACCCAAGTATGTTTTCAGAGTGTTTGAGTAGGAAAATATGAGCATCCATGGCTGGATTACTGAGACGACCCAGCGGGGACACATGAAACTAAACCAGACGCTTTCATACATGTGCCGTAGCCCTGAAATGTTTTTGACGTTACCTTGTCTGATTCAGTCCATTGGGGTCAATAACCTGCGCCTCTCTAAAACAAATACACGAGAACGGAGGAGCTTTGTTTGCTCTGCTTTCTGCACGCAAACTTCAACCGAACATATTCCCACAAATGAGAACACGTCTGAAGCAGATTACTTCCTGGTGTGCAGGGAGGACATAGTCCAGGGTTCATGTGTAGACTTGATGGCTGAGTTTCTCACACATGGATTAATCAAAGTCCTCGATCATGAAACTTTGTTCTTCAGAGATCATCACAGTGAGTTATTCTTATAATCTGGGAAACTTGCTGACTTTCAGATGAAAGCATAAAATATTCTGGAGTCTTTCATCGTCGTTGTTGTTTGTTGATTTTCTTTCTTTCTGTTTATTTTCTTTCCTTTCATAAAAGTATTTTTTCATTGTTTTTCAAAGTACCAGAAAACTTGCAGCCGAATATTTTTGGCTTTTTGAGGCTCTAGTGGTCTTATTGGAGTCGTAGATATGATGTGCATCAAATTACTAATTAGGAAGATGATTAATAATTAGATGCAGTCTTAATTTTGTCTGTGAATGTCAGAAAGTGGTACAGAAGGCAGTCTAAGACCCAGATATTATTATAATAAAGGGGGAAAAAAAGAAGTAAACGAGACATGGCTTTACACACCTCCTCAGTTACTTTGAGTTACCGTCACTCAGCCTCACAACAACCCAAAGTCTTTCTAAATCATATAGGAGGGAATCAAAAATAAAGGATGACAGTGCAATAAACTTCTGCTTTGCTCATTAACTGTATTTCGAGGGGTTTGTTTTGTTATGTAGACGGCGAGGAGCGCAGAGGGATGGACCTTCCCCAGTCTGAATGAGATTAAGACTGAACAATAACTGAGCCTGAAGAAGATTTTCACACACATGCAGCTTGACCGTTAAGAATGTGTATTTGTGTGTCGTTTTGTTTGTGTCCCGTGTGCATATTTATATTGTGCCTTTAACCATCATCTGTCTGCTTGATCTCAAAGGGAAATATCTTTTTATGTTTGATACACGTATCTCTGCATTGTTATTATCCAAAGTGTTATTTTACTTTTATCTCAATACTTTTTAAGTACTGTCGAGATTTTCTTTTGTTACTGAGTTTGACTTTTTTGACTTGATTGTTCTGTCTGCACTGCAACTGAAAGGTCTGGTAGAAAACTCCACATGCACTGCGGCTCAGTGTTTAAAGAAATTTAAAGTCCGGCGTTCAGATGTTTTCCTCCTTTTGACGAGGAGACTTTTTTTTTCTTTTGCTGTGAAACATTTAGCATCGCTTAGACAATCACAATCCCCGATGTTTGGTGTTTTTGTTTTTTATGGCAGGTCCGAAGGTGAAAGCAGCTGTAACAAAGCGTGCTCGTTCTGTCGTTCAGTTACTACCTTAGTGAATCTAAGGGAGAACGAGCAGTCCTCAAACAGAAAACTGAGACCTTTGCATCTGTTCAGCTTATTGAATGTTTATTTCTTTACTTTGTCTGCATGTCACGCCTGTTTTGAAGTATATTATCGTGGCCGTACATAATGACCATGAAATGTTTAAGGGACTATAATCTTAGATTTTCTTTTTTTTATGCCAAATATTGCTGTTTATTTTATATATATTTCATCTCATTTTCAGACATGTGAGGCTGTTTGCAGTCACATAGAGAGCCTGAAACTCAACACTATCATAATAATCAATGCTAATTATTTAATGACAGTAATCACTATTTCCTCCCAACAGCCCTGTAAGGTTTTCCTGTGTAAGACAATATAATGTAAATACATTTTAAAGGTTTCAGACTCAAGTTTGTGTGTTTTATTTTATTCAAAATGGGGGAAAATTAAAAAGAAATGTATCTGCAGATATAGACTGGAAGATTGTAGATTATAGTAGTAGAAATAACATATTTAGATTAAATATAACCTTAAAGTTAGATTCCGGTGTAGTCGGCTTTCTAATGAGAATGGGAAGTAGTCTCTATTACAAGATTAATATAGCTGTACCAGCCATTGCTCACTTGTGTCCACACAGGCCCAAGAAATGCTTACCTGAAATTTAAAATAAATACTACAGTTTGGCCCATAATTCTTTGGACAAAGATGCAGTTTTTCTAGTTTTGCTTCTTTACACCAACACAGTGGATTTTCATTCCAGCAACATCTGATTGAAGTGCAGATTTTCAGAACTTCAGATTCAGTTTTACAAGTTGAATCATTGACTGAAGATCAGTTTCATGGCCAGGTTCCCTTATAATTCCATGATGCACGGTATGTACCACCAGCAGATAGAGGATGTATCAACTTGCAAAAATCCATTACTTAAATTTGCCCATTTGTGTCTTCTTTTTTCTCCGCTTGGCTAAACAACTTTACAGATGGATTTTAAATGGATCTCTGTGCTGTAAAACACTGTTAAATGTCAGAATTATACACAGACTAATCCAGTGCATTTTGGTGAAAGAAAATTAGTGACAGTGTTTGGAAAAAATTAGATAACAGTGTTTTTCAACCCTTGCACAGCACTCAGCAGAAAACCCCCCCAACACTTTGTTGCAGTGTTGCAAGCCTGTTGCTTCTCATTTAGCCGCTGCATTGATATAGTGAAGTTTCAGCTCAGATTCATCACCCTTCAGCAGTGTCTTGATATTGAAACCTTCTCTCCCTGCACCAGACGAACCAGAATGGCCCGTGTGTCTTTGAAAGTGACTTCATCACTAACAGCATACTTCCTCGCTACAATCTCCTTCACCTCTTTCTCTGTTTTCCTGTGTGTTTCCTTTCACATCAATATAATAGCAATTACTGCTGGCATACTAACAGGAGATGACCATGGCCAGGAGAAGCCCGGTGTCTGGTTCATATCAGGGCCGTGGATGAGCAGTGGGTGGAAGAAGACTGTGTCACCCTATTCCATTTCTAGGTGCACCCTGGGATACTGTGGGTCATAGTCTCGGACTCCATGGTACATCTTGTTCACTCAGCCCTCCAACTCAGGATAGTCATGTTCCTGCAGCATGCCATTGTGTGATCGTGGCAGGACGACCAGGCAGATATTCTGCCTGTTCACTGTCTCCATAGCTGTCCATACAATCCCATCACATGGTCAAAAGAGGAAGTAATTCAGATCCTGATGAAATGGATGACAGGACGTCTTCTTACTTGCATCAGGAGGTTTGTTGATCAGCGTCGTGTGCATAGCCATGATATTCTGTCCAGTGAAACACTCAATTTACCAGCGATCCCTAAGTACATACCGTAGTTAGGGATTGCTGGTAAAGAACCGTACCGGAAGAGGTCATGATCCTCCTGCAAGTCCTGCAGTTCAGAGACAGCTTTCTGATTTCAAATTCAAATTTTATTTGTCACACACACACAACCATACACAGTATGACATGAAGTGAAATGCTTGTGGCTGTGCAATGCCTGACCATTACATGACAGTGGTTTTACAGTATTTACAATTTATAGGTTATTACAAAATTTACAGATTTAACTTAGAAATTTACAGTAAAAATGTGCAAATAGCAGAAAGATTATAAATTATAGGAAGTGTGCATGAAGGAAAACCAGAGTGCGTGTGGTGAGACCAAAGGAGGCTGAATAATTACGCACACCCCACTTTTCATTTATTAATTTGTAAAAAAAATGTTTGGAATCATGTATGATTTTCGTTCCACTTCTCACGTGTGCACCACTTTGTGTTGGTCTTTCACGTGGAATTCCAATAAAATTGATTCCTGTTTGTGGCTGTAGTGTGACAAAATGCGGAAAAGTTTAACTTTTGCAAGCCACTGTATACATGCATCGTCTTCCTAATGTAATCCCCCCCCCCGATTGTTTTATAGGTTGACAGGAACTTTCTTTTATCTCCGCTGACAACTTCCCTTAGAAATCGAAACTAAACCGAGCTGCACAAACCAGGAACAAGAGATAGGTATGTATGTTGAATATTATTTTTTCTTGTTTGCCTCTAAAACAGTGCTTGTCACTGTACGATCATAAAAGGCCCGTACAAGAGCTGTTACAGGCTTAAAGAGGAGTGACGATCAGCGAGTAGCACTATGGCTTCATGCCGTGAAAAATCGCGTTCGAGTGATCCATTTACTGCGGTGAAGCCAGCCGACGCTTACATATTTTTTGCGCTCTTTTCCGGTAGTTCTTCTCCTTCAGATTCCTCCTTCGACTCACCTACTCTAAATCTGTGCCGAGTTTCATCTCAAACTATTCTAAGATTTCCGATATCTATTGATTTTTTTCATGTTGTTTCGTTTTGTTAAAAAGCACTGGCCTGGTTTCGAGTCTGATCTGTGTCCCTTTGCTGCATGCTCCCCCCTCTCTCTCTCTCCACTTAACTGTCTGCCGAGAGGTTTGTTGCGAATTCCATATCAACTATCAAGGATGATTTTTAATACATTTAACATTCAATTTATTTTTTTTCCTGATTCTACTTTAACAATTTTTAATATGGCGTTATCATGTTCCATTAACTTTGCTGAATTTGAGGATAACTGTTATCTAATTCTTTAAATATAATGAATATTATAATTGTTTAATTTTATTTATCTGAGCGACTTCAGGTGAAATTTTACAGGCATGTAGAGTAGGTGAACAAAAAAAATCAATCCATTGAGATTTTGACGTCAACTATCAAGGATGATTTTTAATGAATTTTTGATATGCTGTTGTCATGTTGCATTGAGCTTGTTGAATTTAAGCAGAAATGTCCTTTAATCATGCAGTAGATTGAGAGAAAACTCTCCTCTCATTATGAGTTGAAAAATGACTCCAAGATTCCTCACTGTGTTTTCAGTACACACAAATAAGCATGTCTGTCAAGGCCAGATTGTGGAGGGGACCAGAGAAAACTCCAGAGTCTTACATTTTTTATTAATTTATTTAATTTTTATTAATTAATTAATTAATTAATTTTTTTTTTTTTTAGCAAAGTCACATACTAATTCAGTATGAATTTTGTTTACCTTTAGCCAGCAGTTTCAGTGTCGCCTGCTCTGGCCCCTGGAATACAAACATTTTTGGTCCCTGATGTCTCTAAATCCACATTTCTAAGAACAGAGTCTCGAGCAAGTAATTTTTCCCCCTTGATTTTTGCTTTGCAGAATAGGGAAAATTATTTTGTTGATGGTGCACTGAGACTTCTATTTCAGGCTACAATTCCTTTTTACAGTCACCCTTTGAGCCAGATTTCCCAGCTGCTTGGTCTCAGTGATAACATGATCATACTCTTTTTGCTCCACTCTTCTGATTTGTTTCACTACCCTTTTCTTATGTTGCCACCTGATTTAAGTCAGATGTGTGTGTGTGTGTGTGTCCATATTATTATAAATTAAATATAATACTACTACTACTAGCAGTAGTAATAATAATAATATTAAAATAATAATTTGATACTCGTTATCTGAAATCTGTTTCTTCCTACATCAAAGTTAATGAGGACAAAGAATCATACATTCAGTGTAGTTCTTCAATTTGTTGTTGCACATGTGGTGACTGCATAGTTCTGGGGAAAAAATTAACGTTTTTTGCACTTATTTTCATTTCAATGCTGACTCAAAAGTTTGGTCATTCAACTTATTGAGTTACAGTTAAGTTGGTAAACTCTAACTCTAACTTACAGATGAGAACATTAAGAATAATTATAATTCTAAAGATAAAAGAAAATGCAGTTGGGTCCATAAATATTTGGACAGAGACAACTGTTTTCTAATTTCAGTTCTGTACATTACCACAATGAATTTGAAAGAAACAACTCAGTTGATGTGCAGACTTCCAGCTTTAATTTAGTGGGTTGTATGTAAAGATTACATAAAAATGTGAGGACCTAAAGTGTTTTTAACACAATCCCTTCATTTTGGGGTAATTGGACAAATTAAATAACTGAAAATTAAATGTTCATTTATAACACTTGGTTGAAAACTTTGCTGACAATGACAGCCTGAAGTCTTGAATTCATGGACATGACCAAATGCTAGGTTTTCCATTCTTTAAACATGGGAACAAAGCTGGAGTACTGGTATTTATAAAACACTTATTGTTTTATTGAGAACTCAAAGTGCTTTACACTTCATGGAGTGGTAACCCATTTAAACAGCACTTCATTTTATTCCATGCATTATTGTCACTTACAGATTACTACATCAGGACCAATTTGGGGTTTATCATCAGTGGCGGAGCGGGGGGGTGGCTTACTGGGCTTAAGCCCGGGTTGTTTTTTCAGAAGCCCGGGGTCTTTTGGAGTGTAATTTGTTTCATAGTTAGATGCCTGACTGACAACTGTATGAAACAAAAACTACACACAATATTCGAAGCACATAGTGCACACTGTGGGAATTTACGCACAGTCGTAAATTCCCACACTGGAGAATTTAGTCCATATTCACATGAAACCTTTGCAGAGTTGCTGCAGATTTGTCATTGCAAATGAGATGATAACCATCATGTCCCAAAGAGGCTCTGCTGCATTGAGATCTGGCAATTGTGGAGGCCATTTGAACACAGTGAACATATTCAAGAAATAAGTTTGATTTGAGTTCTGGCTGATTGGAGCTGGCTCGGACCTAGCTTAGAAGAACAAAGAAAGCAGTTACAGCTGTTCAAACTAGTTCAAACCCCCCACTATGCTGGCTGACATGATTGACGATGGGTAAGCCATGAGTACTCAGACTATGTTTATTGAACGACATATGGGAAGATCTTGAAGAAGCTCACGGCTTTGCAACGGGAAATAGATAGACCTGGTGACCAGTGATGGACATTGGTGCAGTTGTTCACATTAATCCAAACAATGATCTCCCTCATGTGGCTCCGGAACAGCAAATTCTTGTCCCTGATAACGGGATTGTTTTGTTTCTCTGACCCTATCCTTCAAGGACAGCTTTGTTGGCTGAAGGACTGTTGAGTTGAGTTATGAGACTCGTCAGACCAGCCAATAATTTTCTTCTATTGGTCAGTGGCCTCAATTGGGCCTGCCTTCCTGTGTGGAAATTCAAGTGTGCCAGGGCTCACAGGTGATTGGCTGGCCCAACTGCATGCAGATCGGTGTGTGCCATTCCACACACCATTGGCTGCTGCAGGATCTTCGGGCGCAGCGGACCAATGACGCGGCTGCCTGCGTTTGCCTGCGAGTACAAAAGGCTGAGGATTATTCACTTGTGGGGGACTCTTTGATTTGAACAGACTGTGTAGGCTGTGCCTCTGCCTTTGAGCCTCTTTTTTTGAGTTGCTGCCCTTATGGTTAGTTTTCTTTTGTTATTTGAATGTATGAGAGTTGTTTTTTTGTTGCTTAAATTGCCTTGTGAGTCGTTTCACTGAGGGTTTTCAGTTGTGATAGTAAACCTTGTGGGTTTTTTTAAAAATTTGACCCTCCTGTCTCTGGGCTTATTTATGTTACCTCCCCTGTCACCTAGCAGAGCCAGGGCGTAACATAGTAAGCCTATATTGTGCACGCACAGATGATTTTTTGCATACATTTATTGGAACAAGTAGTTATTTTATTTACTGTTGCGTTCCTATGAGCTTGATGCAATCTAGTCATTCTTGTCTGTCTTCTAGCATTAACAAAGCATTTTCTCAGAGAGAGCTGCTATTCACTTGAAATTTTCTATCCGGTAACCACTCTGTGGTTATTGATGGCTATTTTGGAAAATCCCCCCCAAAATCCTGAAGCTTGGTTTGAATTAGGACAGGTTGGCTTGACCATTATCTGTAGTTGTGCGCACATACAGCTCTCCAGCATCAAAAATTTACTTTCACATCTGTTTTGACCTCTTAAGCTGCTCTTATATTATATCACAAAAATATTTGCATATTTGTGAAAATACCGCTATTAATTTGACATAAACAATAATGGTCATAGATTAACATCTGAATTTCACAGTAAAGGTTCAGGCATTGCAGAAAGTGACCAGATGTTTTGCAGAAACCTAAATAGGTCTAATGATGCCCAGTTTCTTCCACAGAGCAGGCTGTTACATTCAGTCTTTCACTTTTATACATGCCTGCAGTATCACACAGCAGCAGAAGTAATAAGCACTAAATTTAATTTTAGGAGGATGTGGGCATTTACATCTATGGCACAGCAGCAGTTACTATTTAAACAATGGTTCAGTTTCGATTTGATGCACTGATGATTTTCATTTGATCATACTATTGATTTAATCAGGCCATGTAGATGTAACTTACTGGTTCATTTTTTATGTTGCAGGCATCTCAGATGAGAACATGAGTGGAAACACAGAGAAGGTGGGAGAACCCAAATATTTGTCACAAGAGCTTAAAGAATATTTAAGAATAGTCTCATTCTTTGACACTGTCATTTCTGAACGTATGATGTGTTTTTATTTGCTTATTTATTACAGCCAGAGAAGGAAGAAGACAGCCAGAACAAGTCATGTCAAATAGAAACCGAGACATTGCTTGACAGACTTCATCTTCAAGGCAAAATTCAACAAAAGTTGTCACCAGCAGATTTTCTTCAAATACGTCCACCTGTGAAACAGATCGACCATGTAGAATCTGACAAAGATCTAGCTCACACTTTTCTCCATAGGCTGATAATGTTGGACTACAGGGCCAGATATATTTCTGTAAGATCAAGCTGTCAGATCAAGGAGTCGTTCAAAGCCTCCTCCAGTGACTGGGATGTTTTTGTGAGCAGCAGTGTGGACACACATAAGAAAGACAAGGTTTCTGTGCATCCAATGGACATTCAGATGGCAGTATTTCACTACTCAGACAGCTTTCTGAAACAGATGATGGTTACAAAGCTCTCTCAGTGTCAGTATGCCTTACCTTTGCTTGTTCCTGACCCAGTCACAAAGGAGATTCAGTTTCCTCTGTGGACTTTCAGAGAAATAACAAAAACCTGGAAGGTAACTCGGTGTGATTCAAAGATCGTCACCATGAAGAGTGTTCCAGTCTACAAAGCTGAAACAACCTTGGTGTCATTTTTCCGCCTGGGTTCTTTGTCAGTGTCTAAATCTCAGCTGATGAACACTTTGATCAACAACCGTCACGACACCTTCTTCCACAGAAACTGCCCAGGAAGCACCAAGTCTCGCTATCTGATGGATGGTGTGGCAGAGATTGCCTGGTACTGCCCTGCTGGAAAACCCAATGATGCCTTCAGTGACTGCATTGCCTTTTGTAATCTCCATGGTGATGCTCTGTTGATTGAAAAACAGCGTGACATACTGATTGAAAAATCCTCCATTAATATTTTTCTTGTGGCATCTCTGCAAAGCAATGAAGAAATTCAATCACTCATATCTTGTGTTTTTAAGTCTCATAAGCCTCTCATTTGTCTCACAGTTGATAGCAGCTGTGATGCTGTTAAGACAAAAAAGGGAAAATACATAATGGGGCTCAAAGATAGAAACCTCGCAGATGTATCTGAACACCTGAAGAAGATCATTCGCGAGGTTTTGTCTTCTCTTGATGGTCCCAGCTTGAAACCATCCTTCCAGCTTGAATCCATGGCTGAGCTCTCTGAAATCAGACTGGATGAAACTGACCCAGCCTGTGAAAGAGGGAAATCTGCTGCTATGAAAATAATCAATCTGCTTACAAAGGATAACATGGATGTCTCAAAGATCAAAGATGAATTTCTCCCTTGTCAAAGCCAACTGTGGCATCAGTGGAGCAAAATACACAGAGAACTGTTTCATCTCAGAGGAAACATTGAAAAGGAGAACAGTCAAAAGCAACAAGAACTGATGAACATACGTCAGAAACAATGTGCTGCTTCCTGCAGTAAACTGATGCAGTTGTTCACTGGAAGTCTCTCATCATTGCCACCAACAGACAGAGAGTATTTCCTAAAATGGACTCAGATCTTCATAGATGCCCTCTCCACAGATGATGTTTCTTCAATTCTCCAAAGTTATGGTGAAAAGTGGTCTGAGATCTTGGCTTTGAAGAACAAACAGGACAAATCAGATCTGTTATTTAAAAAACAAACTGAACTCGAAGACATATCAAAAAAACTTCAGTCTGCAAGTTTTGGTTTGGAGCACATCTTCAGAGAAATGGGACAGATCTATGAAGCCCATAAAACAACACAAAGAGAGAGCAGAAACACTGACTGGTCTAAATACCCTGAGCTGGCTGCACAGCTGATGATATCAGGACACCCGATGGAGCTGATGGATGGTGATGCAGGTCATATGCCTCTAACATGGATCTCCAGTCTTTTAGAAGAAGTCATCAAGAAACTGGGGGATCAGAGAGTTTTTGTGTTGTCAGTTTTGGGCCTACAAAGCAGTGGAAAATCAACAATGCTGAACACCATGTTTGGGCTGCAGTTTGCAGTGAGTGCTGGCAGGTGCACCAAAGGTGCCTTCATGCAGCTGCTCAAAGTATCAGAGGAGATGAAGAAAGACTTGAAGTTTGACTATGTTGTAGTGGTAAACACTGAAGGACTGCGTGCTCTTGAGGTAGAAGGTAACAACACTCTTCATCATGGCAAAGAACTGGCAACATTTGTTGTTGGTCTGGGAAATCTGACACTGATCAATGTTGTTGGAGAGAATCTGTCTAATATGCAGGACATCCTGCAGATTGTTGTTCAGGCTTTCATGAGGATGAAGGAAGTTAAACTTTCTCCCAGTTGTGTGTTTGTTCACCAGAATGTCACAGATGTTGCAGCAGCAGAGAAAAAAATGGATGAAAAACTGGACCACATGGCCAAACTAGCAGCCAAAGAGGAGGTTTATGATGCAGAGTGCTTCAGTGATGTCATTGATTTTGATGTTCAGAAAGATGTGAAATACTGTGCCCAGCTGTGGGAGGGCAGTCCACCCATGGCTCCTCCAAATCCAGGTTACAGTGAGAGCATCCAGGAAGTGAAGAACACCATCCTCTCTAAAGCTTCAAAGTCTGCTGGGATCACTCTCTCACAGTTCAAAACAAAGATTCAGGACCTGTGGACTGCACTGCTGAATGAAAGTTTTGTTTTCAGTTTTAAAAACACACTTGAAATTGCAGTGTACAGACAACTGGAAGTCCAGTATGGGAGCTGGACCTGGACCCTGAGGAGCAACATGTTGACCATTGAAAACCAACTTCATAACAGAATTGAAAATGGAAAACTTGATGAGGTTGAACGGTCTTATCTTTTTCACCTTAAGCGAAATCTTTTTAAACAAGTGGTTTCCTCTGTCCCTTGACAGCAAAAAGTATTTTAGGTTTGCGATCACATATATTAAATCAAGTCATTATTGGAAATCAGGACAGGTCTTGATGTAGTTGATGAGCTACTTTGAGTAATCAATAAGACTAGAAATGTGTTATATATATAAATATCAGTCAAATCGATTCTAAAATGGTTTATTGTCTTCTCAATAAAGTACAAAGCAAGACCTTTTAATTCTGTTGTTATATATGTCAATGGTATTAACCTGATAAGCTAAATTTCAGGGTAATGTTTTTACTTCTCAGAGTGGCCCACTGTGTGATCACAATGATGACCAGGAGAGAAAACCAGGAGATAAATTTTATGAATCATCCAAAACCAATGACAACGGTACAATTTTTCATTATACAGTAACACAAAAAGCAAAAAATATATAAACTGCTGACTTCATAACTTTGAAAGGATTTGCAGCAACATGCACTGTGTATAATGCTTATCTGGTTCATGCTATCCTGCAGAAACCACCGATGATTACATAAGTGGAAACAAGAAGGTAGGAGAATAAACCTTTATTCAAAAGATCGAAATGAGTATTTACTCTGTTCTGCCATATGACAATGTAATTTGATTACATGTAGTACCTCTTTATTTGTTAATACAGTCAGGTATGGCTTCCAAAGAAATCAGCAGAAACAAACCGAGTCAAACTGAGACACTGCTTGACAGACTTCATCTTCAAGACAAAGTTGAACAGAAGTTGTCACCAGCAAATTTTCTTCAAATACGTCCACCTGGGAAACAGATGGACCATGTAACATCTGAGAAAGATCTAGCTCAGATGTTTCTCTACAGACTGATGATGTTAGACTACAGGGCCAGATATATTCCTGTAAGACCAAACAGTCCTAAGTCATCTGACGACACTAAGTCATCTATGTCAGTAGCTAACGACACTGAGATAGATGACAACTTCTATATACCATCTATCTCAGGTGACAGATATCTAGAGGATTTCTATAACCCCACTGTAAATGAATATACATCATCTATTATCTTTAATCATGAGTTATCAATCTCTGACGACACTGAGATAGATGAGATAGATGATGACAGTGATCTAGAGGTTTTCTTGAATACCACTGTAGACACAAATAAGAACGAGAATGCTCGTGTGCATCCAATGGACATTCAGATGGCAGTATTTCACTACTCAGACAGCTTCCTGAAGCAGATGATGATTACAAAGCTCTCTCAGTGTCAGTATGCCTTACCATTGCTTGTTCCTGACCTAGTCACAAACGAGATTCTGTTTCCTCTGTGGACTTTCAGAGAAATAGAAAAAACCTGGAAGGTAACTCAAATCAAAGATGACTCAACGATCGTCACCATGAAGAGTGTTCCAGTCTACAAAGCTGAAACAACCTTGGTGTCATTTTTCCGCCTGGGTTCTTTGTCAGTGTCTAAATCTCAGCTGATGAACACTTTGATCAACAACCGTCACGACACCTTCTTCCACAGAAACTGCCCAGGAAGCACCAAGTCTTGCTATCTGATGGATGGTGTGGCAGAGATTGCCTGGTACTGCCCTGCTGGAAAACCCAATGATGCCTTCAGTGACTGCATTGCCTTTTGTAATCTCCATGGTGATGCTCTGTTGAATAAAAAACAACATGACATACTGATTGAAAAATCTTCAGTCAATGTTTTTCTTGTGGCATCTCTGACAAGAAATAAAGAAATTCGATCTTTAATGTCATCTCATTTGAAGGCTGAGAAGCCTCTCATTTGTTTGATTGTTGATGACAGTCGTGATGCTGTGGAGACAAAAAAGGGAAAGTACATAATGGGACTCAGCGAAAAAAACCTCTCAGATGTATCTGAACAGCTTAAAAAGATCATTAGAGAAGTTTTGTCCAGCTTGAAACCATCCTTCCAGCTTGAATCCATGGCTGAGCTCTCTGAAATCAGACTGGATGAAACTGACCCAGCCTGTGAAAGAGGGAAATCTGCTGCTATGAAAATAATCAATCTGCTTACAAAGGATAACATGGATGTCTCAAAGATCAAAGATGAATTTCTCCCTTGTCAAAGCCAACTGTGGCATCAGTGGAGCAAAATACACAGAGAACTGTTTCATCTCAGAGGAAACATTGAAAAGGAGAACAGTGACAAGGAAGATAAACTGATGGGAATACGTCAGAAACAATGTGCTGCTTCCTGCAGTAAACTGATGCAGTTGTTCACTGGAAGTCTCTCATCATTGCCACCAACAGACAGAGAGTATTTCCTAAAATGGACTCAGATCTTCATAGATGCCCTCTCCACAGATGATGTTTCTTCAATTCTCCAAAGTTATGGTGAAAAGTGGTCTGAGATCTTGGCTTTGAAGAACAAACAGGACAAATCAGATCTGTTATTTAAAAAACAAACTGAACTCGAAGACATATCAAAAAAACTTCAGTCTGCAAGTTTTGGTTTGGAGCACATCTTCAGAGAAATGGGACAGATCTATGAAGCCCATAAAACAACACAAAGAGAGAGCAGAAACACTGACTGGTCTAAATACCCTGAGCTGGCTGCACAGCTGATGATATCAGGACACCCGATGGAGCTGATGGATGGTGATGCAGGTCATATGCCTCTAACATGGATCTCCAGTCTTTTAGAAGAAGTCATCAAGAAACTGGGGGATCAGAGAGTTTTTGTGTTGTCAGTTTTGGGCCTACAAAGTGGAAATCAACAATGCTGAACACCATGTTTGGGCTGCAGTTTGCAGTGAGTGCTGGCAGGTGCACCAAAGGTGCCTTCATGCAGCTGCTCAAAGTATCAGAGGAGATGAAGAAAGACTTGAAGTTTGACTATGTTGTAGTGGTAAACACTGAAGGACTGCGTGCTCTTGAGGTAGAAGGTAACAACACTCTTCATCATGGCAAAGAACTGGCAACATTTGTTGTTGGTCTGGGAAATCTGACACTGATCAATGTTGTTGGAGAGAATCTGTCTAATATGCAGGACATCCTGCAGATTGTTGTTCAGGCTTTCATGAGGATGAAGGAAGTTAAACTTTCTCCCAGTTGTGTGTTTGTTCACCAGAATGTCACAGATGTTGCAGCAGCAGAGAAAAAAATGGATGAAAAGAGACGCCTGCAGGAAAAACTGGACCACATGGCCAAACTAGCAGCCAAAGAGGAGGTTTATGATGCAGAGTGCTTCAGTGATGTCATTGATTTTGATGTTCAGAAAGATGTGAAATACTGTGCCCAGCTGTGGGAGGGCAGTCCACCCATGGCTCCTCCAAATCCAGGTTACAGTGAGAGCATCCAGGAAGTGAAGAACACCATCCTCTCTAAAGCTTCAAAGTCTGCTGGGATCACTCTCTCACAGTTCAAAACAAAGATTCAGGACCTGTGGACTGCACTGCTGAATGAAAGTTTTGTTTTCAGTTTTAAAAACACACTTGAAATTGCAGTGTACAGACAACTGGAAGTCCAGTATGGGAGCTGGACCTGGACCCTGAGGAGCAACATGTTGACCATTGAAAACCAACTTCATAACAGAATTGAAAATGGAAAACTTGATGAGGTTGAACGGTCTTATCTTTTTAACGAAACACGTAAAACATATGAAGAAGTCAGAAAAGAAATGACAAAGTACTTTGAAGATGACAGAGAGAAAGAGATCTTGGCTCAGTGGAGAGGACGATTTGAAATCAAAATGAAAGACTTTCATGATGAACAGGTGAACAAAGTAAAAAGAAAACTGGACGGAGTTATCCAGCAGAAGAAAGCTTGTAAAAAACTGGATGAGAAAAAATCAGAGTTTGAGAACAAACTGCTACAGAAGAGCAAAGAGCTCACTCAGCAGCTGAAGGATAAGGCTAAAGATGAAGAAGAGCTTCAACGACAGTTCAGCTCTGTTTGGAGCGGCTGGGTTACTGAATTAACAGCAGATACAAAACCTGTTGAAGAAATTAACTTGGAAAAAGATCAGTTAACGATCCTTCAAGAACTTGGTTTTGAGCCAACTCTCATAGATGAATGTAAAAGAAGTGGCAGATACAAGAAATTATCAGACGTTGGTGATTATTCAGTTTATATCAAGACAGGTGGTAATCTGTTGATTAGTTTTATACAAAAACATATTTCAAGTGGTTTCTCCCATGAAGAACAACAACAGATCAGATCGCTCATTGTCCAAGCTGAAAAAGAGTCACTTCATGCAATCCAAAGCAAACCTGTAGTTACAACAGGCTACTCAACAACTTATTTGCATGAAGTGGCCAATCATGTAACATTAGAATTGCAGAAATTTCTGTCAGAGAAGGAATACACCTTGAGGAAGGAGTTTAGAGTTGATCTCTTGCTTCATGTGTTCTGCAGGGCAGAGAGTTGGCTTCTAGAGTCACAGAAAAAATTTGTAAAGAATAATGATGCAAAGGCCTATTTAGAAAGCAAGCAAACACAGTATTACAGAGTCTTTAGAAGCTTTTGTAAAGAAAACTGTTTTGCTGTTGTGCTTGGAGAACTAATCTGTGAGAAGCTGACAGCTTCTACTGTTGAGGCTGTCTGTAACAAGACTGCCATTGATCTCGCTGGAAGGATGAGGTGTAATTTCCCAGCATTCAATGGGAACAGACTGAACTTGGAGAAACATGTGTTGAAGTCACTCGCTGAGAAAGAAAACTTTTATGATTTCATCACTTACATCACAAATCCAAGGAAACAAATGGAAGCTTTCATTAAAGCAGAAGTTGAGAAGCACATCTTCAGAGATCACAAAGATGAAGCTGTGAATATACTCAAGAAAAATGTTGATGACATCGAAACAACTGTGAGTCAGGCTTTATTTACTGCAACACAAAAAGTCCATACTCAAAAGGGAGACACAGATATGTGGCTGAATGAATTTTCTAACATCCTAAAGGATGAGCTGACAATAGACAACATTTTTTCTGAAAACTTCAGCGACATAAAAGATTTTCACTTTCTCAAGGAAGAGATACAGAAAGGATTTAAATCCATCACTGAGAAGATGAGCAGCCTCTCCCTGGATAAGCTGAAGGAATCCAGGCATAAGCCTGAAGAAATCCTCATAGATCAGCTTTGTAACTGCTGCTGGGTAACGTGTCCATTCTGTGCAGCTGTTTGTACCAACACCATGAAAGATCACAGTCCTGATGACCACAGCACTCCTTTTCATCGACCTGGTGGGATAAAGGGATATTACTATAGAAAAACTAAAGAGCTCTGCGTCACTGTCTGCACAACAATTGTTACAAGTGAAGGATGTTTTTACAATAGCTCAGAGAAATACATTCCCTACAAACAGTACAGAACTGCTGGTCCACCGTATGATACCTGGAGCATCACACCTGATGGGTCTAAACTGGCATATTGGAAATGGTTTGTTTGTCAATTTAAAACACAACTGGAAGAGCACTATGAGAAAAACTTCATGGGCAGAGGAGCTATTCCAGATCTATGGAAAAAAATATCTAAAGATGAAGCCATTAAAAGTCTGGATGAAATGTTTTAATGAGTCAAAGAAACTGCAAATCTGCTGAAAATGTTGATACTTGTTTTCACCTAATAACTCGTGAATCCAGCTGTGACAGTCTGATTTTTGTCTGAGTGAGAAGGAAAAAGGAAATTCTATAAATTATTAACATGAAGATGTTATGAGTGACTATAAGTGAATTCGCAAAAAGTACAAAGTGAAAAACAAAAGTCACATTCTCAGTGTTGTGTCTATCTAGGCTTTCAGAGTGTTTTCCAGATAAATACATTTTTAACCTAATTTTGTTAATTAGCATATCATTCACCTGTTTATAACAAAGATTTTTTGTTTATCAAATAGTCAAAAAATGTAAGGAAACTAAATCATAAAACTGCTCCTCAAACAAGTGTTAACACTCTTTGATCATTAATTTCAAACATTGCATCTGAAACCACAACAAAAACATCGTCTTTTGTAATTGAGTGGTGTAATTTTCAGTTTTAGATTCAATGTTTAAGTTGAAGTTTATTCTCACAGATATATGATTTGAGATCTGTTTGACTGTCTTATGCTAATTTCATCTAAACCTGTTATATCCACACTGAATTTTGTTTAACTCGACTTTCATTTCATCTCAGCTCTTTTTTTGTCTCAGCACTGGAATGATTTTTTTAATTCTTTGTTAGCATGTTTAGTCAAGTGAAAAATTACAACTGTCAACAGTTTGAAACCTTTTTGCTTTCTATGTCTTAAATAATAAAATAGTTTATGCTTCATCTCATTTGAATTGCTTGATTTTTTTTCATTGTGTACAACATTGAATGCAGAATAGTCCATCTAATTGTCAAAATCTGCTAACCTTATATTTCATAAATTGCACTGATATGGAGCAGCAACAACTGATAAAACACAGATGAAACAAACCTGACAGCTCTCTGTCAACTGGCTGTTTGTGTGATCAGATTTGTAAATTTGCAAATAAGTTTCAGTTACTTTGTTTTCATGTGTAACTTCTGCTACACTTCTGTCATGGCAGATCAGCAAATGTGTGAGGAGAGTTGTTTGTAAATAAGTTCAGTCAGTGCATTAGGCCTGAGCTCAGGCTCACAAACTCAGGTATTCTCTCAGACTGTACCTGTACCATAATTTGCCAAGTACCTACCACTAGATGGCGGAGTACTGAGCAATTTAAGTGTGAAATTGGTAGCAGTGGTTGTGCTGATACAAGGCCGGCTCAGCTTTTACAGACTACAATGGATTTATCATGTTCTTGCTGTAAGTTTGTGTTAATGTTTTAGTTTTTTTAGTGGCTGTCACTGGTAATTCATATTGGAGCTGCATTAACTGAAACAGTTAACTAAAAAACTCCCTCTGTGAGTGTCTCACAGGACCTGATCTCCAACTAGAAGCCAGGGAGATGCGCTTTAAACTCACTGTTTAACCTTAACACAATGTGTTCAAATCCCTTTGAGCTTGCACAGCTCTGGCTCACCATACAGCTGCAACAGCACAAATGGCAGGCTGGAAAATATTGAAATATGGTTGCAGTAAAAATGTCAGAGCACTTGCTTTGTTACATCACAATGTGAAATGTGAATAAGCAGTTAAACTGTGTACAAATCCCAGGAGCAGCCTGCACAGCACAGGCTGGACCCTTAAATATGCTTTTCAGGCAGCTCACTGGAAGGCCGGTGATTCCTCTGTGACCTTCTCATCTTGACCCTTTAAAACTTCTGCCCTGATCCCAAACATCCACAAACTAAAATCTGTGCACATTTAGCTTCTTTTACAGGAACACAGTACTGACACATTAATATATAATGTAAACACAGTGACCACAAAAAGGGGGGAAATTAAGTGAAGTAAGAGAATTAAAAGGAAAAAAAGAACACATGAGACCAGCATAAGGATGTTATAATAGCTGATTATGTTTACTTAATTAGTTGTTTCCTTACTTTTCCACACTAAGCAGCAGAAAGAACTGAGATTTTCAGAGTTCTTTATATATTTATGCATTTGCACACACATGCACGTGTGCACATTCACACACAGACAACTTCAACCCTCAAATACAGTATAAGGTTACATAGTTAATATGTGTTAAATTACATGTTAACACCTACAACCAAAATGGTTTTATTACTCTTTCTATTTTTCTAATTTTTTTCCCCGCTTTCTGTATTTTTGCTGCTTCGTTGTTAGTACCTCGTTAATACCTTTATACCTATTTCACACCTCCTACATCACAACTATTGCGTAAGAAAAAGATGCTCACAAAATGGTATAGAAATGGGAATTTAAAAAGCACACACACAAATGTTCTAGCTTTAAAATGACCATTTAAAAAAATTTTGTAAACATGATTTTTATACTGGTTTAATACTGTCATATATTTTAGGGAGGCAGACCCATTCATTAGCATTAGCAAACTCATCTCTTTGTCAACCCATCACTATTTCATACAAGCATGTAACAAGTGAGGCATTTTAAATGCTTCATTAGAGGAAAGCACAAGTTAATACAGAGAAAAGTGGTTTCTGTAAATTTATCCCCAGATAAACCTGAATGACATCATAAGATATTGTATCTGTGGTTAATCAAGCAGCAGGTCAGAGTCCTCTGTCCCACACAGCCGTGTGACCTACATGACTCAGTCTCTTTCTAATCTCCACGTCTTGTGGATGTCAAATGATGCAGGTCAGCAGAAGAAGTTCTCGGCCAGCTTCCTCATTCTTTTATTGTCAGTGGCCTTAAGGGGACGCTCTTCCTCTTCAGGTTGCTCCTCTGTGATGGTGGCCCCTTTCAGCTTATCTTTATCAAGGTTTGGATGGAAGAACGTATAATAAATAACTTTAAATAACAGACCAAGGACGTAAACTGCAACAACACAGGCAGCCGTGGTTAAAGGGTGTGTCACAAAATCAGAAGGATCTGTGCTCATCTTCCAGCACCACAAACCACAGAGGATGCAAATATCAATAAGGATATACGCGTGATAGAGCACGGACCTGATCCTCATCCCCTTGGCCACACTAAACCAGTTAAAATACCAAATGAGGCCAACAGTGGTTCTGTAAAGCCATTCTCCACGAGGGTCCTCCATGAAGTTGGTCTTGGATCGCCAAGCGAAGAAGAATAAAACCAGCCAAGAGCAGATGAAGTGGGCGAAGATGAAGCAGGGCAGCACGGAGGCGAAAAGAGCAAGGGCAGCAATGCGAGAAGAGATGAGAACCAGGTTCCAGATGAAGTAGAAAACTAACGAGATCATGTGGTGTTTTTCCTTCTCTGGCAGGAAGGTGCGCATTGAGTGATCGTAGGTGGTCAAAAAGGAGGCGATGGACAAAGTCGAGCCGATGGCCTTCAACACTGAGGAGAGAGCGAGGGGCAGAGTTAGAACAAACGTTGATTCTTTGTTAGAAGATCCAAGTAATTTACGAGTTCAAAAAGCAACCCCAAATATTTTCAAACATTTTTTGTCATTCAGTATTTTATTATTTCGACTGTATGATGTTTGTTTTCACAGAAACAGCGATCATTTGGCATTTAACATTTTCCCATCAACCAATTATAATAGGTTAGTATATTTATTTCTCTTCTATTCACATCTCTGTGTGAGCTCCAGCAAAGATGCTTTTAACTGTCTGCTGCAATTTCACTTTCCAAAATTTGATGACAAGATTTCACACAAAAATTGAAGCAATTTTGAATTTGATGGCAGCAACACGTCTCATGGAGGCAAAAGAAGGCTGGACGAGTAAGTGAACAATTTCAGAAAAATATTCCTCAGTGTTCCTCATCATCTACACTGGAAAAAAGGGATTGGCCAGCTCTTGGATTTACATAAGCAGCTTGCATGTATTTAACACAAGTGTCTCATGCTTTAAAGTTAAGTGTAACTATATAGTGTAGCAACTACATGATTAAATTGTTCATATCATGTTTGAGTGAAGTAAGTCAATGATATAGCTAATATGGTAAATCCTGCGACACTGCACAGGATTTCAGTTCACGCTTTGGATCGTGGTTTGAGGAAGGCATCCATCTCAGTCAAGACGAGCAGCCGCCTCTACTTTTTTTTTGGTATACCGAAAAAAGTAAATTGGGTGGTTGTTACATTAAAAAAGTCTAACTTGTAATTTGAAGAAAATAATTTCATGTTTCTATGGTAAAAGTAATTAAATCATGTCGGATCTGTATGAAATTCAGCAACTTAATTTGTTCCTGGTGAGATGACCTGTTACAATCTAGTAAGAGTGGTTAGTTTCTGGACTCATGAAATTAACAAGATCACACAAGTTTTCAAAAACTGCAGGAAAACCACTGGAGTTATAAGAGGCAGACAGCTACACACACACCACGTGTATGCCATCGCTTTGTGGTTCAAATCCACAATCCACTGGGTGTTCTGGTTTCCTCCCACAGTTAAAAAACACAATTACAGTTAGGTTAATTGGTGATTCCAAATTGCTCCTGAATGTGAGTGTAAATGTTTGTTTGTCTCTATGTGATAGACTGGTGAGCTGTCCAGGGTGTACCCTGCCTCTTAACCTATCACTTTGGGGTTTTTCTCCTGGATTACCCTTTTGTGTTACACAGTTCACTGTTTTTCCTTTTGCTACCCAGCCTGACCTGTCTCCTCAAGGTGATATTTGTGTATTGCATGTACGGTCGGCAAGGTCTGTCATCTCGGTTGTGGGCAACTGCAACTGACAAATAAAGGCATCATCTCATCTCTCACCAAATGGTGGCTGCCTATTGAACCACCTGTTGAATTGGCAGTTTGCAGATCTGGAAAGGCACCATCAATGCTGAAAGTTTTTAGAACAACACATGCTCCCATACAGACCTTTATGTAGAGAGAGCCTTAGAAACAAACTGAACAACACAGCAAGACAAGGCTGAACTGCATACTCCGTGTATTATAAAGGCTTCACGATAGAGTCTGGGTGACCTGGTCTGCCTGCAATCACAATCTCTCACCAACTGAAAACATTTGAAGCATCATGAAACAAAAAATACGACTCAGAACTGCTGATCAGCTAGAATCCTACATCAGGCAAGAATGGGACAGTGTGTTTATTAATTTGCAGATCATTGGAATTTGTTTTTATTTACAATTTATACAGCGTCCCAACCCTTTTGGAATTCAAGTTATAAATAGATGAGAAAACTTTGAATGTGGTTTTATTCGTAATTCTACTTTCAATGAAAAGCTACACCTGAGTGATCCTAGAGAGCAAGCTGCGGGGTGCTCACTGAAAACATCTCAATGAAGTGCAAAATGCGGAGATCCTGTCTCAGAAACTTGGCCACACTCTCAGCGTCAGCGTCCTTTCCATATAAGCTTTGCACAGACTTCTCCATGATTCCTGCATACCTGAGAACCAGAAGAACCAGTTACATCAAATCCTCCCCCCAGACACGCTGAACTGAAAATATCTCAAAGCAGAAAAGGAGCAACAAACGTCCGAACAAAACAGGGTTTACCCAATTATAATAAAGAAAAGAAAGATCCACAGAACATAAGCAGTAAACAAGTAAGTCAGCAATTGATGTCAGTAGCTTATATACTGAAAAGAAAATGGATGCATGACTCATGGGTGTACAAACAGAAACCTTCCAAATAAACAAGTTCATTTAATTTTATTTCCTATAAATCAAATATTTCAAGATGAGGAAATGTAAGGATGGTGCCTGGTAGGGATGGGTATTGATAAGATTTTCACGATTCCGATTCCATTTTCGATTCTGTTTAACGATTCGATTCTTTATCAATTCTCTTATCGATTCTCTTATTGATTCTTTTTTTTTTTTTTAAACAGTAAGGTCGATTAGCTTAGAACTTTGTTTTATATCTTCTCTTTGAACAAGATAGAAATTTAGGAGTAGCCTGGCCTTACAAACCCAACAGTGAGATCTTAAGACAGCGGTCTCCAACCTTTTTTGCGCCACGGACCGGTTTGTGCCCGACAATATTTTCACGGACTGGCCTTTAAGGTGTCGCGGATAAATACAACAAAATAAAACTAGTACCGGTACCGAAAAAAAGAAGATTTATTCATAATACACGTGAAAAGACTCAGGAAAACCCAGTTAACGATAAAAACGATAACAAAATAACGCTGAAAACCAATAAAAACCCTGAAAACCATACATTTCACATCTGAGCCTCAACTCTCGCGGCCCGGTACCAAACGACTCACGGACCGGTACCGGTCCGAGGCCCGGGGGTTGGGGACCGCTGTCTTAAGAGATCCAGCCTACGGCTCTTCAATGGGGTGTCACAGGGTCCCTGGGGAAAAATTGTAAATGTAAAATAATAAAATAAATATTCTTCTGTAGCAATAACAAAGTATAACATAAATTATTCTGTAGCAAATACACAAGAATATCCAGTAATGTCCCTGCCTACAATTAAACACATTCACTTACCGAAAATCGAGGGCATCTGCTGTGGCAAATAGCTGCAAGCCTTTTACCACAAACTTAGTCACTGCTCGGTGACATTCATCTATCCCGGTGTTGTGCCAAAAAGTGATTGTCTGCCAAAAAGTGATTTCCAATGTTTCTGTGTATTTTTATGTGTAATATCTTTACGTATGTTGGTAAATAGACTTCGGTGAACAGGGTTTACAAAGGGGTTATATAGAGAATTAAAAAATTATCAGTTTTTCAAGTATCTTTACAACTCTGTGTTATTGTACTTACATTATAACCAATCCGGTCCTTTATCCCCACTTAAAATATTTTTACAGAACTACCCTAACCCTAACCCCCTAACCCATAAGAGATGCATTTGACATATATTTCACATATTATAGCCCAACAAGTTACTTATAGCAGTTTAAATACGAGCAATCAGTTTTTGGTAAATACCGGAAATCAGTTTTTGGCAGACAATCACTTTTTGGCTCAACACCGGCCTGAAAGGAGACACTACCGGTAGACTGCAGTGAGAACTGCCAGCGAGCGCCAGCCAGACTCTGTCTGTCCCTCTCATCATGGTCACCTAACTGCAGCGCACAGTAATGGCAGGTTTTGTAATAAGGCAGATTGCGCTAACATAATATGCACTGTTAGTTGATTATTTGCCTGCCGCATTAACGGGAGAGGACGTGCAAACGTTACCGCTGCTGCTGGGTTGAGATTCACGAGTCCGAAGCGGAATTAAAAACACGACATTGATTTAAGGTTATCGCGTGTTTTGTGAGCAAATGCTTTTGCATATTCGTAGTGTTTCCTCCCTTAAATGAAATATCTACTTTGCAAGTATTGCAAGTTGCCCTGTTGTCATCCGTTCTCGTAAAGTATGACCAAACTTTTTAGCGTTTGAGCCGCTATGTTTCCTGCCAGGTAAATGACGCTCCGCAACGTGGTGACGTCATTCGGGGCGACGGGAATCGATAATGGAATCGTTTGCAAAAATGGCAAACAATTCCAAGGAATTGAAACAGTGGGAACCGATTCTCAACAAGAACCGGTTTTCGATACCCATCCCTAGTGCCTGGGGCACTATGAACACACATATATCATCATGAAACAACCCGAAGAAGATCCCCAGCTGAAAAACATGCAGCAGCTTGAGCTGGCACTGGCTCGGCTTCTTCTCAATCTTTGTCTTCATTTTGAAATCATCGTAGCGGTACCAGAGCCAGCTGTACACCTGAACCAACATGGACGAGCCCAAGAGAAACAGCAGCAGGAGGCTGAAGTACACGTAGGCCTCCTGCTTGTAGAGGGACACAGCAGCCCATATATCCACCCCTATATCAAGCAGGAACAGCAACAAGTCCACACAGGTGAAGAGAAAGTCCTGAGTGCAGCATTTAAACTCATCCTCAGAGCCCGGCATGCTGCCTCGATGCCTGTGCTGTTCTCCTCTGTCTTGTGGTGGACAAACAATTTTTTTTTACTGGCACACATAATTTGTGGGGCATCTTATTGGGACACCTGATTGTTCTCTTATTTAAGTTTTAGTAATATTTTTAAATGGTTGTACAAAAATAAACTGTATAGAAAAAAGCTGTATATGTTTACAAAATGTGTGCATAAGTTTTCAAAATGTACAATTTATATTTGCATTTCCATCCATCCATCCATTCGCTACCGCTTATCCTTTTCAGGGTCGCGGGGGGTGCTGGTGCCAATCCCAGCTGTCATAGGGCGAGAGGCGGGGTACACCCTGGACAGGTCGCCAGTCTGTCACAGGGCTAACACACAATCACAAGTTTCAAGTTATAAAAGTAATTTACTCAACATGTCTGTGTTTTTTTTTTTTTACAGTAAAAATAAAACCACTACTAGGATTTTAAGTTCTTTGTGTGATTTCAGATCAGTAATACTAATGTAGTATGTTAGTAAAAAACAACTAAATTCAGACAAGTGAGGCTGAGCTGAAAAGAATGATACCAAACACGGGCAAGGGAAAAAAAATTAATTGAAACAATTTGAGTGTGAAATACAAATGTAAACTCAAAAGGAGTCAAAAATGGCTGGTTGTATTTCGGACCTCACAGGGTTAATCCAACAAATCATGAAAATTTAGGTTTAAATTTGTGTTCGTGACAGTGCAGATTTCTGACACTTTGTGTAATTTAAGCATGTAACAATTTGATTTTTTACTAACAAAAAAAGTGTGAAACTTAAGTTAGACTTGTGATTGTAAATGAACCGCCCCATGTTGTGTAGCTTTCTGGATTTTATACTTATTGGGCTACATATTTATTTATTATACAGGCTATACAGTACATAAAATCAAAACTCACATGTTTTATGCAACTAAAGTGTTTAAGTATGTGGGCTACAGACAATAATTGAGTTATAGACAATATTTATAAAAACGTGTATACTTACTGCATTTGAATCATTTTAACCACCTGCATATGTGTTTGAAAAAAAAGTCTTGATTTTGCCACCCCATTTGATTTTTTTGCCACCCTCTTACCACCCTAAGAAAAATTCTCTAGATCCGCCCCTGAAACTGAGGCCCTCTGACTGGACAGATGAATGTGATGCAGCTCTGTCTAATCTGAAAGAGAAACTGTTGAACTGTGTAGTCCTTACCCAGGCAGCCTTTTCTTTGCCTTTGATATTGTCCATTGATGCTTCATTAGATGGGCTCGGTGCTGCATTGCCACAAATATCAGCTAGACAACAGAAAGCTCGTCCAATTACTTTTGCCAGTACCAGCTACCTGGTACCAAGAACATTGTAGCTGATGCTCTCAGCAGAGACCCCTTTGCAACAACAGTCAGCCATAGGCTGATCACAGAGCAGTATAATCGCCTTCTTGCTGAATCTGAGAGTGTCAGCTCTAATGGCATACAAAACACATTCAGTTTAAAGGTCCAGGGTCAACATGAGGACGCATCACCTTTCTGTATCGTGGGACTGCAGCCGCTCTCGCCTCAGCCTGGTTGTGATGCTATGGATGCTGGATAGCCATGCAGAACTAGAAAATGCATTTCCTATCAAAATTACAAAGTTAATGCTGAAAATGTGAACAATTTGCCTGAAATGCTTACAAATATTTGAAATATTTAAAAGTGGAACTTGCTGAATGAGCTAAATTTCATACGATTACCAAAATACCAACCAGCTTAAAAGTAAAAAGCAAGAGCACCAAAAAATGAAAATGTACTAAATAAAGCGAAAAAGTACCTAAACTTAAGTTTCTTTGGTTAAATGTTCTTTTTCGAAATAAAACAAAAAACAAAACTTGGATCTGAAGCTGATCAAAATGAAGAAGAAGTACACAAATCAATTCTGGTCAGAAAAAGACCTGAAATAAATTCAGTTTAACCCTAAAATTCTAAGCAAGCAGTTTCTGATTTGTGGCAGTTTGTAAACATCCCTCTGACACCAGCACACACAGATGTTCACTTACACAGGTGGGTTGTGTTTGGTTATTACCTGACACTGTTTAGAAATACACACACATTAATACACACCTACATGTCCCAGTCTGACACTGTTTACAAACACACCTACACACACACACACACACACACACACACAGTGACACAGTGGATGTGAGATATACACCTCTGTGTTTCTATGTCAATCAGCATTTGCATGAATAAATCTGATGAATAATAAGTGTGCTATTGAATAGACTTACTTGGGATTATGATGTCACCAGTGTAATAATGGAACTGTTGTTTACAAACTGTTGTCTGAGCTGATAATGGAACAGATACAAATAGATGTTGCTTTTGGGTTTGAAAGTTAAACTGTGGGTCTTAGAAACTCATCTAAACTGTGAGCTGCTGTGTTGTAAAATACGCAGACAAACATATTACTCCCTGTATCACTTTTTGACCAGTGCAGTCTTACAGTGAGCGCACCTTTAAAGGATGCGTGTATCCACTTTGTGCCATTCAGTGGCCCAACCCTGTCTCTTTTTTCTAAGTCACATGGTTTCTGGGAAATCATAGGGTGCAGCCATTACTCTCTGACTATTCTCTATGATGTCATTCATTTGAAGTGTTTATTCATGCATTCAAAGCTCCATATATCTCTCATATCAATCCTGATTTGTTGAAAGCAGCCGATGAGGGGGAGACAGCATTGGATGTCACTGATTTCTCTCTATATATAAAGAACAGGGTCTGGTAGGATTTATAAGACAGCAGCATCTACAAAAACCAGACAGTGTCACTGTCTGCTGTGTGGCAGGCAGGAGGAAGGACCCAAATGGAGGACTCGAACACAGAAACATAACTTAAAACGACAGCTTTATTGGTGGGAAAAATACTCCATTAAATGAACTCATCAAAAAAGAGAAGAGGAGTTTATTGAGAATTCCACATCAAGGATGATTATTAATACATTTTTAATAATGACTGTCACATTCCTTTGACTTTTTTTCCATTTGTACTTTATTAATTTTAATGGATTTTCAACATGATGTAATTTTTGTTATCTAATTCTTTGACTATAATTAAATATAACTGTTTAATTTAATTTAACTGTAACCTTGGAGTGGATTCAGATGAAATTATGCAGGCATGTAAATTAGGTGAGCAAAAAAAAACAATCCATTGAGATTTCGATGCCAACTATCAAGGATTATTTTTAATGAATTTTTGATATGCTGTTATCATGTTGCATTGAGCTTGTTGAATTTTACCAGAAACGTCCTTTCATCATGCAGTGGGTTGAGATAAAACTGGGCATCCCAGAAGAGGAATGAATTGAAAACATTGTGTCAACTATCAAGGATGATTTCTTTCTTTTTTTTGTTGTTTTTTTAATTTGAGCCCCTCTTGTTTGGAGTGATGGACAGGGTGACAGATGAGGTCAGGCGGGAATCTCTGTGGACTACGATATTTGCAGGCAACAACGATCTGTGGTCAGGGTAGGGAGCAGGTGGAAGAGAGCCTGGAGAGGTGGAGAAATGAAGACAGAATACCTGTGTGAATGAGAGGGAGACAGGTGAAGCAGTGAAGCTGTGAGGTGCCGAGGTAATGAAGGTGGTGATGTTTGAGTAAGCACTTTGTGACAAGGAAAGGAAAAGCTCTCCTTTAACAGGAAGAAATCTCCAGAAGAACCAGGGTCAGGGAGGGCAGGGCTGCGACCGGTTGTGGGTGAGGGGAGGAAGATGGGACAAAACACACATTGTGGAAGAGAAGCAGAGATTAATAACAACTAATGATTAAATGCAGAGAGGTGTATAAACACAGTGAGTGAGAAATGTGACTGAAGAAGAAACACAACATGGGAATCCCCCAGCAGCCTAGACATATGGCAGTGAAACTAAGAGAGGATTCAGGGTCACCTGATCCAGCCCTAACTATATGCTTTAGCAAAAAGGAAAGTTTTATACCTAAACATAAAAGTAGAGATAGTGGCTGTCTCCCAATTCCAAACTGGAAACTGGTTCCACAGAAGAGGGGCCTGAAAACTGAAGGCTGTCTCTCCCATTCTACTTTTAAATACTCTAGGAACAACAAGTACAATATTGTATTTTGAGGTCTCTAAGATAAGATGGGCCCTGATTAGTCAAGACCTTGCACTCTTGCTGCAGTATTTCTTTCAGTTTCACCTGCTGTAGCTCCTGGAATACAAACACTTTTGGTAGCTGATTTCTCTATAGACTCTATAAGAATAGAGTCTCCAGTAACAAGAGTTTTTCCCTTGCTTTTTGTGTCACAGAGTAGGTAAAACTGAAAGTGAAAGGTTGGTGGCATATGCAGGGAGTGCAGAATTATTAGGTAAATGAGTATTTTGTCCACACCATCCTCTGCATGCATGTTGCCTTACTCCAAGCTGTATAGGCTCGAAAGCCTACTACCAATTAAGCATATTAGGTGATGTGCATCTCTGTAATGAGAAGGGGTGTGGTCTAGGCAACGTCCTTTCCTTTGGCAAAATGGGTCAAAAGAAGGACTTGACAGGCTCAGAAAAGTCAAAAATAGTGAGATATCTTGCAGAGGGATGCAGCAGTCTCAAAATTGCAAAGCTTCTGAAGCGTGATCATCAAACAATCAAGCGTTTCATTCAAAATAGTCAACAGGGTCGCAAGAAGCGTGTGGAAAAACCAAGGCGCAAAATAACTGCCCATGAACTGAGAAAAGTCAAGCGTGCAGCTGCCAAGATGCCACTTGCCACCAGTTTGGCCATATTTCAGAGCTGCAACATCACTGGAGTGCCCAAAAGCACAAGGTGTGCAATACTCAGAGACATGGCCAAGGTAAGAAAGGCTGAAAGACGACCACCACTGAACAAGACACACAAGCTGAAACGTCAAGACTGGGCCAAGAAATATCTCAAGACTGATTTTTCTAAGGTTTTATGGACTGATGAAATGAGAGTGAGTCTTGATGGGCCAGATGGATGGGCCCGTGGCTG